GGGGGGGGGGGGGGGGGGGGGGGGGGGGGGGGGGGGGGGGGGAAGAGGGGAGGGAGCGACAACCCCGGCGAGGGGGAGCAAAAGAGGAGGGAGAGAGAGCTTGATCGGTGATTTTTTCCTCCGTTTGTTCTATTTGAGATCCGCACCGAGTGTGGAAAAGAGGACCCCGACATCAATGAACTCAGCGTTGTTCCGACACATACGTACGTACACCTCCCGCACCCCTCGGGTTAGATTCCCAACCAAAGGAACAAAGGTCCCATGCAGATCGATCGCAACAGCCCGTGTCTACCCGACGCGCCCTGTTCCTGCATCCGTTGTACGCTTACATAGCTCGAGCCCACCAGGTCTCTGGAATATGCCCGACGCATTTTCAATGTGAAGACAACAACAACTCACCTTCGCTGAGCATCCTAAATGCTCTCTCCTCCGCCTCCTCACGATCGAACGGCTCGGCCTTGAGTCTCGGCTCCATCCCCGCCAGCGGCATCGTCATCATGTTCATCCTGAATCTCGTTCCCTTTTCTAGGCGCCAAGGGGGGTTTGGTTTGGGGCTTTACTAGAGGAGAGTGGAAAAGATGCGCGTCTCACCAGCGAGTACGTACGTGTGGGTCGATGTGTCACGGCAAAAAAAGCTGGCTGTCTGCTGTCTGCTGTCTGTGACCTGTGATGACGTCACCCCGCACTCGTCGTCAGGTAGCTTCCGAATAGACCAGATGGTACGCACTTGAGACTTTTCGAGCCTAAGAGTGCGCATGCGCCCGAAAAAACTAAGACCATACCCACTGCATTTAACGGACACCCAGATGTCGGTGATGAAACCCCAACCACACGCCTCTATCGGCGGCCACGTCAGAAGGCAATGATGAGATAATGTTCTCCCGTGCCCTTCTCACATTTAACGACGTACCATTGCACAACACGGTAAATATCTTCTCCCGCGTCGCACATGTCCCCATACATCACACACAAAAAATAAGTTGACGAAAATATATAGACACCTGCTCCGCAACCACATGAGGGTGCCATAATCGAACACCCGACAAAACGAGTTTCCTCAAATCTTCCGTCTACAACTTCCCAAGATAACATACAGATAGGTACACAAGATGGCTACCAAACTGCCTTGTTGAGCCTGTTACCCACAGGGGTGATATCGTTGTATGCTGTCTGGGAAACCGTAGACATGCAGGTAGATTTTCGCTCACGCTATGGATACATTGCTAATAATCTATCTTGTTGTTGTTGTTGTTGTTGTCTTCACATTAAAAACCATCCCGGTCTCTCTATCCAGTACCTCCTTCTGTCTCAATCTCTCCGTACTAATCCATCACTTGACTCGGCCAATTTCCGTGGTCACAGGCTAACGTACCTAGAAAAGGTATACCAAAATAAAATGGACCCCAAGGGTCAGCAGAGCGATAAAATACAAGANGTGTTGCACCCCAGCACAACACGCCCGATTTCACCACCCCAACTTTGGAGCCCCGGTCAAACGCCTTCCCGTCTGCTGGCGGGACATGTCTGCTGCTGGGAGTGCCTCCCAGGGGCTCAAACGCAAGAATTTCAACGTTTCGGAGAGAGAAGAGGTGGTACGCTACCTTCTCGCCGACAGCGAAGACGGGGTTCGGCTGGGTATGCCAAAATTCCGCCTTTTCCCGGACCAGGGGATGGTAACGCACCATCCCCCCCCCATCGAGCGGATTTTTTTTTTTCTCTCTCCAATGTCATATGTGATCGTTTGCCAAAGTTGTCCGACGTCCACCGTGCCCAAATGGCACGTTTCCGTCAATATTCTTCAAACCTTGCTTATATTCCCGGATTTCCAAACCTTGCTTATATTCTCGGACAGAGGGAGTAATCAGAAACAAAAAAATTAATAAAAAAAAATAATAATTAGACTAGTGGAACGGCCGCACCACCAGCCTGGGGGGGTAGCCTCCCACTACATGGAGGCAGGTCGACGGCCAAAGGAAGGGGCGGGGGTACGTGCCAGTAAAAAACAAAACAAAAGACAAAATAAAACAGAATAAAGCAAAGACGAGGACACAAACAAACTCGCACAGAGACAGGGATATCCCTAGAGACAGTCTGAACGCGACAGCAAACGGGGGAGAGGGCAACAGAAAAATTAGTCGTTGAAATTCGACCGCAACATGTCACGTCACGCGGTCGGTCTCTTCTCGCTTGCTTTCTTCCCGCCGCGCCGTTTCCTTCCGCCCCCCTACCGCCCCGTTAATCTTAGACTTCTTGATATATATATTGTTGTAGAGATGGACTTGTTGTGTGATATTTAGAAAAAAATAAAAAATAAAAGGAAAATCAACATGTAGGGATGGATTCGCTTTTATTAAAAAAAAACAGATGCGGTGTAACCCCCTCGGGTGCTGAGAAACCGTCGTGGGTTGTCGGTTGTAGGTTGTAGGTTGTAGTTTTTTTTTTTTGGTCTTCAGCAGATCCCGCCGCCCGCCGCCCACGCGTTGATGACGATGATGGATGCAAGTGTCGCTCTGACGGACCCGCCGTTAGGTGTTGAAGCGTCGAGCAACAAACAGCGGAGACAGGAGCAGTGAACACTCGGCGGTGCTTGCACAATCCATTTCGAATCCATTTCGAATGGGTCAGCAGCAGAAGGAGAGGTTGAGATCTACAACAACGGCGGCTTTTGCTTGCTGCCACTGCTGCTGCAGCTCTCTCGGCCTCTTCTTAGAGGGTGCGGGGATTGTTACACACTATACACTCCGCCAGCACCCAGCAGAAGAGATATAAAAAACAATCCGCCAGACATAATTTCTGCGATACGACGAACAAGACCTAAAAATAGTCGCAACAGGCGACACAAACAATAACAACTTCAATGACTCCAATCGCAGAAGAACTCGAGCGGGAAAGGGAGAAGGCGGTAGAGCTGGGCGATCTCGATCTCGACTCGGCTAAGCTGGACGACATGGTTCATGCGTTGGGAAGCCTGGAGCTTGAGAAACGAGGCCTGCTGGAAAACATCCGTGTTCTTCGCCTTCGTCTTGCGGAGGAGAAGGTCTGGCATATCGACAGAATGATGACCTCCAGAGTGCAGACTATGTGATACAACTGCTGTAGTCTTTAGCCTTAAGTTCTTGAGTTTTTTCTCATTTGACAGCCTCCGAAATTTTGAGCTCCCACATTCGCGGTCTTGTATTTTAGTCTAAGGGGCACAGATCGGAGGGCTGGCACGGGCACGTAGGAGAGTTGCAGAGTAGCACCACCGTGCGATAAAGAAAAGTAACAAGAACGAGAAGAGATGGTTGCATTTTCGTACGCGGATTGTAGAGATCGCACGGGTTGCGTTTTCCCTGTTTCCTGGCCCCGGCACACCCCCTTCAGGGGTGAGGGTACGTGCTGCCTCTAGTGACTCCGGCAGACAGTAGACCCTTTCCGATTTTTTTTTGGGGTCAGACAAAAGCTCAGACAAAGAGGGTCAAATTTTTGGAATCTGTAGCCGGGAACGGTTTTATTTGTCTGGGGCTGCCCCACTTTTCACCCACGGCTCAGATAAATACCTCTCACCAATCATATTTTGTCTGAGGCGTAGGTTCCTGTTCAGAAGGCTCAGATATTTGATATTTAGCAGCAACAGAGAAGCGTAAACCACAAAATATGGCATCGCATGGTACAGACTCGTCCAAGCATCACCGATTCATTTTCGAATTTAGATTTGACTTGGCCATATCTTGGGGTTTCCATGTATCTGCACATAAGAGATGGGCTAGTGTGATGGGATTTGAGTACAAGGATCTTAACGGCAGCTCTCGGCGAGGTATGTAGATCTAGCGGGAACTGCAACACCTTTGGATTATTGCTAAACAGGGGATAGAGCCATAGCATCCCCCCTCTCAGCAAGGAGCGGCCCGCTCCCCCTCCCGTTCAGTCTATCTACGGAGTTAGGAACAGCAACTGTACTGCTGTGTTGAGAGATAACAAGAAATAGAACAAGAACAAAGTGAGTCATCATGGGTCTTCAAGGATAGCTACGCGTTTCTCACCACATCATGTCACCACCACCGGACAGACAGACCTGCTCCTCCTCCGATGCGGGCGGTGTGCGTCTGTGTGTAGATATGTGGTGATCGCTGTGGAAGAAACCGAGTGGAGGGTGGGATGAGGCAAGGTTCACCAGCAGCCTCAAAAAGAGTTGCCTACAACTAGTTCAGGGGAACACCCATATCATGAGCTGTAGGCCACTCGAACTGCTGGGAGGTGGCCCAAAAGTTGCCTTGTGCAACTCTCTATCGGCGCCATCTCCTCTGCACAGCTGTTGCGGTTTGAAATGCAGCTAAGAAATTGGAGTGTGAGGGGTGGTTGCTCTAGGTTGAAGCTGCTGTTACTGCTGCTTGCTGCTGCTGCAGCTAGCAAATAGCTGCTGCTGCTGACCGCCGCCTCTCTCTTTCGGTTGATTGAAGCAGGACGCCACCTGAGCGGCTGAGAGATTGCTTGCTAGAAGCCTTGANGCTGTAGGCCACTCGAACTGCTGGGAGGTGGCCCAAAAGTTGCCTTGTGCAACTCTCTATCGGCGCCATCTCCTCTGCACAGCTGTTGCGGTTTGAAATGCAGCTAAGAAATTGGAGTGTGAGGGGTGGTTGCTCTAGGTTGAAGCTGCTGTTACTGCTGCTTGCTGCTGCTGCAGCTAGCAAATAGCTGCTGCTGCTGACCGCCGCCTCTCTCTTTCGGTTGATTGAAGCAGGACGCCACCTGAGCGGCTGAGAGATTGCTTGCTAGAAGCCTTGACAGAGTGTTTCTCTGCGGTAACAACACCCCCGCTAGATGCTCCTGGCACCGTGGATGATAGATGGCACCACCCAACCAAGCAAACCTGTTTTCTTGCTTGGGGAGAAGGAGAGCGTGGGGAACGGTGCGCGCGAGTCTTTCGGCCAATCACCGGCGGGCCGTTGCCACGTCATGCCGAAACAAAATCTGAGCCTCTTTTCGGATCTTTTTCATGCCAATTTCTGTCTGGGCAATTTTGCCTGGGCATATTGTCTAGGCATAACCACACATATTTTCGAAACTCCCCAATATTTGCTGCATCGAAAAAATATTTACAAAAACAAGAACGATATTGGACTGCTGCTTAAACTGCTTTCCGCATGGGATCGGAGAGTTGAAATGATGGACACTAGGCTGTCACAAAACCTTAACCACGACATGGTTTAAAAAACGATCGTACGGTCGTGCTAGCTCTACGATTGCTGCGATACCATGTTTACATCCATGAACGCGCTTAGATAATTCCCACATCCATGCTGTTGCAAACCTTACCGGTATGTGTTTGCTGCCGCACCTCTCGATACGGCGGTGTGATATATTGCTGTCGCACGCACCACGTGTACACAGGAAGATCAGAGTGACATCTACTACTACCTCCACAAGAAACTCGATGACAACTACGACGTCATCAGCGCCCTGCAGAGGCAGCTCATGATCGAAACAGCCGACCGAGAAAAGGCGGAAAAAGAGTACACCAGGCAGATCGAGCAGCTGGAGGCTCGCAGAGACGAGGTGCTCGGGCCGCTGAAAGAAAAGCTCATGACGGAGGAGGAGCAGGTGCTCTAGTAGCAAACACTTACGGTATTCTTGGCCTCCTACACGAACATCGTAGCTTGGGGAGAGCTCTACGCGCGAACCTTTCCCCGACGTGCACTCGAGTTGGTTCACATTGACTTGCCCTGTGGAAAGCAGATAAGGGAGAAGGTGCCCGGGCAAGGTACGTCAGCGGAAATTTGAGTCGTGTGTTCGGCGCGCCCATACCAGCCAGCAAGAGCAGGCACTGAACTCTGGAAGTAGGAGCTACTAGATCAAGTGAATTTCAGCATTACCAAGCTTTACCGAGGCCTCCCCTGTTGATTGATCGGCTGCCGCTGTCCTTGCTCGCATCGCAGCTGAATGGCATGCACGAGGCCGCGAAGAACAAGCAAGAGGCGGACGCGAAGCGAGCTCGGCTCGAGAGCGAGATCGAGACGACACAGTCCACGTTCGAGAACGACCTCAACACCGAGCGACGCAAGCAGCTGCAGGAGAAGCAGCGGGTGCGGACGCAGGTCGAGGAAGAGATCATGACGCTCAGCTCCGATCTTTTCTCCAAAAAGGTAAGCTGGCACCGATTACTCCTCCTGTGGTGTAGGTATGAGGTGCTTCAACTCTATTTCCATCCTGGTATGAAAGAAGATCCCACGTTTGCCATCGAAACAAGTGTACCCAAGCATATGCCGAAAACCGAAGGTTGTGCTGTGCTCTGGACAGCGGACTTCCACGCGACACAGCCGTCGACCCTGTTGGCTCAACCAAATCCTGCCCCAACGCCAGCCTAGATAGATCGAGCTCAACCGCCCCCTCGTTTCCCATGCAATACCATGCATATCGCCCGACTCAACCACGTTCGACGACATCCAACACCCGGCTCGACAATAATATCCGGCGGCAGGAAGTTGAGCTCGCCGACAAGACAGTGCGTGCCAAGGACAACAACGAGAACCTGCACGCGGCGTTGCAGGCGAAGGCCAAGCAGGCCGAGCGGATGATGGTGATGAACCAAGGCCTGATCTTTGAGAACAGGGGATTGAGAAACGACTTGGATCTTGCGGAAGCATCGGAGGTGCACACAAACGCTTACCTCCCTGAGCTCTTGAGCTTGTGCGCCGGAGGTCTATGCGTAGGCGTAGGATATGGCGTTCCGCTTCGCGTCGACATAGAATCAGCTGTAGCTGCCTACACGGCAGTTACGAGTTCGAAGCACATGGGCGTGAAGGTCACTGTTCGATGTTAGGTTGCCTAATGATACAGCCAGAAGCGGGAAAGGTGCAGTATGGAGTCGGATGAAGCCAGCCCACCCATTATTGCTACTTTTTTGCCGATCTCGGGTAGTCGAAGCCCAATACACACGCTACATGAAACAGTTGATGCGGGCAAGAAAGCTGCATCTTCCCGGCCTCTTCTTTCCGCTTGGCACGCAAAGCGATACCTTCCTTGCTTGGCGAAAACCTCACCTCACTACTACTCACGTTACAAACATGGGGGGGGGAGGAAGTACACCTACAGTTCCTACGACCTTCTTCGTTAATTTATTTTTGCGCGCCACAACACGACTATCCAAACAAAGGAAGTCCTACACAAGCGCGTCCGGCTATACCACGACCTCGTGATTAGCCTCAAGGCCCGGCTGGAGCAGGAGGCCTGCGACGACGACGCAGAAGACGATGACGTCAGCGACGGACAGGAGCTGGCCGAGCTCGAGGAGTCTCTAGCGAGTAGCGGCGGCGGCGGCGGTGGCATTCGGAAAGCAGCAGACGACACCACCGTGTCTTGCCTGGAAACTCTGTCTTCGACGTCGGGCACACCTTGCAGCGCCCAGGTCATCTGGGCCGGCGGGGCCTGCGGGGCCCTCGCGTACGAGTCCGTGGACGAGCTCCGCGTCGCCGTCGAGAGCCTGCAGCGCTTGCACGCCGAGCTGCGAGAGGAGGCAAGCCGACTGACCGCACGCATCGAGGAGACTGCGGATTCCTTTCCTACAGCAGGGACCGAGGGGGGTCGTGGCCGCGACACGGAGGACCCCGTGGTGTCATGCCTGTTAGAGGCGGCGGAGGAATGGATGGCGGCAGCGATGGCTTCACGACCGGCGAGGCCGGGTGAAGAGGGGGACAGAATCGGCGGCGGCGGCGGAAATGAACGAGAAGGCCCGCCCGTGCCGTTGCTCCCTGCGCCAGCAAGTAGAAGAGAACGCTCCGTGCGGGGTTCGCCAGGTGACCACAGCGGCGCGACCAACCCCAACAACAACAACATCGGCGCCATCGATCGCCGCTACAATCTGCGAAGCGGCAGCGGAAACCGTGGGAAAACCGCGGACAGCAGCAGGAATGGCAAGCGAGAGTCCGTGGCGACGGCACGTGGTGGGTCAGCGCTCGAAAATCAGCGAACAAAACAATCGCCGTCGCCGTCGCCGTGTTCGCCGCTAAGCGGCGGCGGCGGCGGCGGCCGCGACGGCGGAGCGCTGGCGACGGCTACCCAAACCCCGCGCCGCCGTCGGGAGCTATTTTATCACCTCGTGGACGCGTT